TTTGCTGATTTAGCGTAGAGCTTACAATGAATGAAAGTATAGCGCAAACAAGTATTTTATCAATCAACGTTTAAAGAGCACAACATGAAAAATGAATCTTTGTGTTATTTATGCTTATTGATATTAAAGCGATCGACTTTGTTTAGAAATTTAATGTAACTTATAAAAACAAATTATGCAATGTTCATTTTGAATCCGTTAGACAACTTGATCGTATGTGAAACAAGCGCATAATATTAAACGGACTCTGAATGCGTAATCACTCTTTTGTAAATGTACCTAACATTTACTTTGCAAGTCCTTTAAAATATACTAAAGCTTATAATGTAATTGACCTGAGACTACTGAAGACGAGTAACAAAGTGCCTAAATTTTACTCTCACATCTGTAGTATTTATACAGGACTTTCTATGGGACAATAATTGAAGTCAAAAGCTTTACTAAAGTCGATAAAATATTTTGTGACTTTGGTCACAAAATATACCCTTAATTAAAAACGGTTTTCACAAAAAACATAATAAATTATACGTATCTACTAGTTAAATACAAAATTCTCACACGGCTAACACTTCAAAGCATAAAAGAGATCATCTGTTACTACGTACTTACCTAATACGGGTAGTTAAACTAAAACTCAAACTTTAACTCGAAAATATCAATAGATGTATTGTATATATTATGAGTAAACACGTTGTTAAGCACGAACTCTCCCTTAATATCAGAAACTGCACAAGTCCATCCCAATAAACATAATATTGTCAAGCACGACTGCATGGGGCTTCCTAAATATCAGGATTGTCAGGAACTGCGTTGTTGAATGATGCAATTTTGTTATTTTAAGTACCTAAGTTAGCACAATCTTAAATCTTGTTTCTCGAAACTAACGATAAATTCGTGTGTCTGCAAACAAAATGATGATTTCACGGTTCTCACCTTCGAAACGAAACATTCGTACATTTAGTTAGACTCAGATCAAATGCTAATTCTTTTGAAAGTAAAGGATATAAAAAAGAATTAGCGTTGCTAGTTTATATCTCCATATAAACTAGCAACACTAATTCTTTGCTTTTCATTTATATATTACTATCCATTTGTATATCTCCATATACAAAATGTTTAAACATACTAAAGTGCGTTCAGGTTATGTCAGTTTGACGTCCCAAACCTTGAACTCTTTACGGCAGATTAATTTGCATTCATGTGGCTGATGACGTGATCCATATTCATAAACACTGTTGTTGTTGGTTTCACATAATGAGGTCTCAAGAATAACATAATTATGCTTAGGAAAGGCAGAAGCACATCTAAGTTTGTAATCAAGAGAACTTTCAAACAATTCTGTGTTTCGATAAGAAGATGCAAAGAATATACCTACGTAGAATAATTACCTACATTAGTGCCTAATACTAACTGACGTCATTTAAACTAGACTGACAAATGACTTCGGAGTACGTTATGTATACTTACTTCATCCAGTTCAGCAATACATGATTTGATATGTGTGGTACGAAACACCAGCGAAAGTGACGGTCAACACTGATCTATTACCTTCATTGATATCGCATTATCCTACACTATCCAAAGATAACAAATATAAACATGTGCGCAATGTGTGATAAAAGAAAATTTAGGTGGTCGTCATTTTTTTTAATTGATGCGTATTTTTCCAGTGTTTATTCTTATACAAAATATGTAAGATCTTTGTAATGCGAGAAAAGAAATAAATAAGCAGAATTTATAAAATCTAAGAATTTATAAAAACTGATGGAAAGATTCGCTAAGAAAATATTAATGTTTTCTCCATACCGATCACGCCGTAACGCCAGATAAATAATGTAGGTCTTTACACGACCGGCCTGTTATTGCAAAATTAACTGATAAAATATAGGCTACAATTGAATAAATCACACATTGGTATAGAAACCTTATCATTTATCAGCACACATTGATAAATAATGTTAAGGTGTTTATGCGTAAGTAGCGTACAAAACTGGTGGCACTTAATAGTAGTGTAAAATCGAATAGAAACCGTCACAAGTGCTGAGATAAATCTTAGTTGAATCAGCATCCTGCGTTCAGGTTGTAATGTACAGAACATCTGTCGTAGCTACGACCAATCAGGAACGTGCGCCAGCGCACATCTGTCGCAAGCGCACAACACGCCCTCGCTTTTTTGTTCGCTTTGTTGCTATTTTTTGTCTTTCATCAGAGTGGTTCGTATTTGGAGACTATTGAGAGCTGTGACCGTTTAAATTAAATATGATAAAAAAATATAAACTCTTCGGTTAATTTTAATAATTAGGTAGTTTTAATATTGACAGCTAAAAATTAATTACGAAAATCATTGCTACACGCACTCGCATATCGAGTATACTTAGATTGGAAGTATGCTGTGTGCCTAGCACGAATAACTATCGCATTCGTAACGTAATAGTATCGAGACGTCGAAACGTCATGTGACGAAAACGGAATGTCGCAGCACGAAGCCTATCGTATCGTCTTTCGAGAGCTCGAATCAAATTCGTTAGTGACGTCATGCTGATGTAAAATAGAGAAGCACCCAAGTGAACGAATTGAATGCATAATGATTACGTCTGAAAACTAAACCATTTTTAAAATATTTTTCTACCTTTGTCTGCACGATTAAGGCTTTGATATTTTGTTAAGATATATTGGTTAAGCAAAAAAAGGTCAAGAATGGAGTTTACGGTTATGTAAAGTGACATAATCGTATTACTACAACCAAAAGAGGTACTAGTTAATTTGTAATTTCATAAAATATTTTACAATTTCCGAACGTCGTGTTTGACAGAGGTCAAATGCCATTATGTCAAGTTAATTGTTTGTTTATACGTTTATTAAGATTTCTATTTTAATTAATATAAAAGAACTCAATTCTAATGCAAAATAAGGGTGGAGTTAATGGAAAGTATCGTAAGTAAAAATTTCAACATAAAATACGCGCGAAAAACAATATAAGGGTATTGCTTTTCGTAGTCGGGTTATTATTGTTTTGATTAGTTTCTCTTCATTGTGTTTGACCTAATATGCATTGTAATGCCTATTCCAGGATTCCAGGAGTTTGTCTAAGCCAGCTTTTCAACCCCACAAACTACTTCTACTCCATTAGAGAATGAATAGACCAGCAAAGAAGACTAAACTTGAACTGACGAAATTGTTCTTGCAACTTGATAATAAACAAGTGATGATGCTGGGAAGTGTGAGAAAAGATAATGAAATATAATGGTGCTGACATGGTGCTCCTATACGTGTCTTCATGTGGAATACAATGAAACAAATTAAACATGTACAACATTATAGTACTAGATTTAATTTTTTTCTTGAATCTCTTTGTACAATAAAATTTGTCTTTAAATACATACAGTCTATCTCTTATGAAATATACTTAGTAACATATTGACAGAATATTTGCAGAATATAAATTATACTGATTTATGATAAAGTGATGACTTGAAACAAAAGTTGCATAAACCTAGTTCAAGCAATGAAAATTCTGTTTACACAATTCACTTTAAATATAAGTTTCCTTTATTAAGATCTAGGTAATTTATGATAACATTAAATACCTAGCCCGGTGAAGGATTTCTATACTTTGGACAGTCGAAATTGCGTTATAGCTAACTTGTATTAAGTTATCTCCTCTATCTATCCTATCCTATATAATGCATGTTCAAAGAAAGATAAGTATATGAGGCATATAAAAGTTTATAGTGCTTGAGGTTTGGGTATATCAAAATATATGGCAAAAATTTGTAACACAACTAAGCTGTTATTGCTATTAGCACAATTTTCGGTGGCGTAGTGGAGTATGTTCCTTGCACAAACAACACCATCGGTTTTTCAATCGTCCAAAAGTATTGTTAATGGTTATCCATCCACTACGACAAACTTAACAACGAGTGGCATTCTCCGCATCATTATTGCCGTGTTTCCCGAAAACATTGATGTTGATGAATCATTTCATACGCACAATACTTGTTTTAGTTCATTTTAATTTATAATTGTCACAAAATCTTAATTTTAAAATGTTTCGAAACCTTTCTCACCGGTAAATTCTAAGTGACAAATGTTTTGACAGTTTTCGATAGCCAGCCTTCGAAATTTACGTTACCGTTTGTCAAAAGATCGTTCGTGCTTCCAATTTATGTCAAAATGTTCTAAGTTTCGATAGCAACACGATACGATTACGATACGATAGTTGTCAAAATCATTCGTGCTTGCGTCGTGTAGTTCCTTTTACGCACGGTAGGGGCGCTGTACAAATCCCATAGAAAATGCTTTCGATGTCGATACGAATACTTTCTCGATAGTTTTCGTGCTAGCCACTCTGTTGTATGTATAATCTATCGAGTAGAAATATTTCACAGGATTTGACAGGATATTAGTATGTAACATTTGTTGTAAAGTATGTTGACCAAATGAGGTCACTAATTAACATTTAGTGAGTGTCCCTCTTGTGCTCTTCGTCTAGTGAAACAAGTAGCGAGACGTGGTATGAGAGCGTCGCACTTGTGCTGGATTACATCCAGGCTTCATTATAAACTGGGTCGAGGATTTGTTCTCTTAAACTAGTGTTTGGGTAAGCAAACGAACGAACAAGCTCGGAGTATTCTCTTTCCTGAATCATATACAGTTTTAAAAATAAACAACAGCCCTAATCTTCTTTAGGTTTAGTATTTAGTTATAGGAGCACAAACTGATTGTATCATAATCTAAGTTGAATGTTGACTTAGCATTAACACACGACAATTAAAAAAATACCCCATTTGATTAAAAAATATTGTCCCTCAATACCTAATGATAAAAAAGTTATATCTATAGAATAAGGAAAGCTCAATATTAATTACAATGTAAACATATAGCAAATAAAATTTGACTATACTTACACCATACCACATGTCGTTGCCTTACATTTTACAATATAAGAAACGTAATTATTGTAGCTCTGTAACGGTCAATAAAGATCCATATTTTTTCAGGGTCAGTGCTATGCGAGGACGAAACTATAGGACCGATATTCATGAAGGAACCGGCTAACCGAGTGGACTTTAGCAACACGACTGGAGCGACTGTAGAATGCGCGGCACGAGGATCCCCGTCACCCGATATCATCTGGGTCCGATCTGATGGAACTGCTGTTGGTGATGTCCCTGGACTGCGACAGGTAAGGTTTTACACCTCCATTGATATGTTTGTCTCTTGGTACAGTTTTAAATACTTACTTTCTTATAACATCTATACATAATATAGTAAGTCTGTAGAAAAGTAATTTTTGTAGATTGAAGAAATTGACAAGAAAAATAGGCAGCGTGTCAAAAGATAACGAAGAGCAACCATTTCCATAATTTTTGAAATTTTAGTCTGTTTGTTTGTGCGCGCATCACGTAAAATTTATGAATTCAATGCAGACATGGCTGGTATAACTTAGTTTTTGTTTCATCAAAATCGGTTCACTCTATCAGAAGATATGTTTAATTTAGTGAGTTCCATTTCTAAATGGTGGTGTTAAGATTTTCCGCGCGAGAATCACCTTCGACTGTGTTTCCTTTACCGATTGAAGTTAGTTTGGAGTCTTAGAAGTTCTTGAGTGTGTCGTAGATGGTCTTTGGCTGATTAGAAAAAATTGGATTCGTTTGGTCATTGGTTTGAAGAAGATACTACTTGATATTTAAAACAAGTACATTAGTAGATGTATTTGCTTCTGAGTTTGAATAGTGCCAATCGTTACAGTGAGTGAAGCGAATTCGTTAAATCGGACCACGAACAGACGATTCGCTATCATACGAGACTTCGGCGCACCGCCCTTTAAAATTTTGTCGATTTTGTATCTTGCTTTGACATTTTCCTTGAGAATGCCTCAAAGAAAAAAACATATGCTCCGGGTAATTCCACCGCTAATATAGTATATACGGAAGCATTAACGTAATCATCTAGATACCAATATTACCAAATAAAAATATACTACAGTCAGGCTCTTTATAGGCAAAAAAAAATACTATACCACCTTCTTGAGTGGAGTTTATATGTATATAGCCTACTGTTATCTAAACGATGTTGTTTTGTTTTCGACAACCACGCGAACGAAGTCGCGGGCACAGTGGTTACAAATAAATATTGTTTCATCTATGAATAGTAAGGTCTCATAAGACCACTGACTTTCTGTTCTTAAATTGAAAGTAGGGGCATCATAATTATTATTACAAAAGAAGTTAAAACAACTCAATGCGGCATTGAACAAAGGACCACCGAGATACTTAATATGTAAAAGTTTTATTACGAATCTGTCGCCTACACGGTACACAACACCTACATGACAAGGTCATTTTGTTTATCGGTACCCGCATAGAATGTCCTATTGCATAATTCAATGTGATAATTCAGTGTAATAGAAAGTGACTGCATCATCACAATTATGCACAATGTGTCTAACATGTTAAAGATTTTATTTACAACTACCGTAAAATACTTCCTGTACTTTCAAGCTATAACTTAAATATATTATTTTCCTTAGGTTCAAGCGAACGGAAACCTTTTATTCCCGCCTTTCCGAGCGGAGGATTATCGGCAAGAAGTTCATGCCCAAGTTTACGCTTGTCTCGCTCGCAACTCTGTTGGTACCATTCATTCCAGGGACGTTAACGTACGAGCCGGTAAGCAATATTTACATAAAATTACTAATTCTAAGAGGCACATACTTTAAGCTATTGTCCGTTGGCACTCAAGTACATGGGTCAGAAACCTTCAGTAAATATTTTTGAATTGTTAACGGACAAACAGCTCACATTGAAAGTAACCGTCAACTTTACTAAAAGTTGCAGCCATATCTCATACAGTACGAGATTGTGTTACAATAAAACCAAGTTTGTATATCGCGTGCGCCTTATAGAAGCACCATAAAGCTTCATGACAGATTTATAAATATTTTTAATGGGTTTAACATGACACGCTGGATATAACTGTGTCAACTGACACCATGATGGCTGTGTTTATAACCGAATGCTTCCACTTGTTGACTTATCGCCCCTCTTTTTTCATTTGTAATTCGATACTCAGATGCTCATTATATGATTAGTGTATCTTTTATTTGTATGTAATGTGTTCCAAATTGGTTATTTAACTACCGGGCATTAGAATCACTACATTTAATCTATTGTATCCATCAATGGAATCAATAACAATTCATTCGTTTGTAAATGCATTGATTGTAACGCACTCGTGCTTAATGAGACTTGGCGATGTCTATTGCAGGGATACGCCGTATAAGGCACCACATTATATTAGAATGTTAATATAATGCAAGTTATTTACTACAACTTTTAACACATGCAGATTGTACTAAATCGTTGTAAGCTATTACAAAAATTTTGATTAATAATTAATAGGTATACCTACGAGTATAATTGGTTACACAAACCAAGCTAATACCTAATATCAATTGGTAATGAGGTTCAGAGAAACGTTCTTTTGATAGTTTGGTGAAATACTCTGTCGTCATGATATGACCCCCATGGGTCTCATAAAAGCTGTTCATATCAACATCATTCCCTTCAATAAGTTGTACATCTAATTTAGAGTAGCAATGCTGCTTAGAAGTTTGATTGACCATCATAGGGCGCTGCCCTTATGACACGAGGTCAAGTGCGGTCAATTAAATAATCAAGAAGGAAGAAGATGTGCTTAGTGACTATTTAAGTTTGACGCACTATTCATTACATATATAATAGATTATCGATTCGTTTACCTATCTACATGTGTTAAAGTGTGTTAAAATTCGCATTATTTCTTGACTATTAAAACCGAAGAAAGATTACATTTGCTTATGTTACCAGTGTGTTATTAACATTTTTCTTTCAGGAACTCAGAATTATGGTTGTTTGTTGATACTATAATTTGTTCATCTAGGTGTTTGAATATTTTGATCCCCCTTAATATTGCCCCTTAGTCAATATTAATCGACTCTCTTCTATGTTCATGTTTACAAAGTGGTTGCTCAACATTACGACACCGACGTCAATAAGGAGTATGTCATTTTGGGGAACAGTATCGTGCTCAAGTGTCAGGTCCCGTCGTTTGTAGCCGATTTCATAGAAGTTCTCTCTTGGCACACTGATGACAACGAAGACTTCCTTCCCGGCGATAACTATGGTTAATTTATCAACCGTTTTAATTCCTTCCCCTTCCTATCCCACTCTCCATCTCATATAGCTCACACTTGAACTACAATAATGGAATTTCCACAGTGGTACAACAACAATACGAATCAGAAGTAAATAACGAATATGTGATTCGCGGCAATTCTGCTATTCTCAAATGTTCTATACCTTCATTTGTTGGCGACTTTGTCTATGTTATATCCTGGCATGACGAGGCTGGCAATTCCTTCACTCACGAAGACAATAAGGAAGGAGATGGTACCACACATTCAACTAAATAGCAGTTTCATTCTAGCTCCCAATGTCCATATCCTATATCCTGCCTAAAAATTCGATCTAAGTCGTACATTTATTCCAGTTGTAACACAGTACTACGAAGCTGAAGTAGTATCAGAGTATGTAATAAGAGGAAACACCGCTGTACTTAAATGCAATATTCCTTCTTTCGTCGCCGATTTCGTGAAAGTGGAAGCCTGGGTTAACTCCGATGGCGGCGAATACTTGCTGACCGATGACATCGGTAGTTCAGTTGCAACGTGATTTTATAACTATTTCCTAATCCCCTCACCATTTCCTTTTATGTTTAGACTTTTATTAGTCATATACCTGCCACGTGTTCTTTCAGTTGTTAATCAGTTCTACGAAGCAGAGATTCTGACAGAATATGTGATACGCGGAAACGCCGCTGTTCTAAAGTGTTCTATCCCCTCTTTTGTCGCTGACTTTGTGAAGGTGGAAGCATGGATCGACGAGGTGGGAGCAGAGATTACTCACTCAGAAGACCTCGGTACAATGGCCTCTTAAACAAATCATATTTGCTTCCCGTTCTATCAACAATTCCTTACACCACGAACCGTTCCAACTTATTTATGCTTCTAATTGTTATTCTTCAGTCGTATCACAGTATTACGTGACCGAAGCCGAAAACGAGTACGTGATAAGAGGAAACACTGCTATTGTTCACTGCAAGATTCCATCTTTTGTTAGTGACTTCGTTTACATTGAAGCTTGGCTTATGGAAGATGGACAAATCCTCACAGTTAATAATACAAGCACAGCACAGGGTACACCTCTATGGATTTCTTCTAAACCAACTTTCCTGTCCAATTATATTCCTTGGTCATTTCGTCAGAATAATTAAAATGTTTTCTTGTAAAGTGGTGTCACAACCTTTCGAAGCCGAAGCTGATAACGAGTATGTCATTCGTGGCAACGCAGCCATTATGAAGTGTGAAGTGCCAAGCTTTGTTTCTGACTTTGTATATGTTGAAATGTGGATGGACAGCGATGGAGGCACATATTACCCCAGCAGTAGCGAGGGTAATTTCTCACTAGGAGAAAACAATCCTTTAATCCTGATTTCCTTTGTTTGTCGCAGCTGTACTTCAAGCGTATGAAGCTAGAGTCAACGATGAATTTATTTTGCGAGGCAATACAGCTATTCTGAAATGCATTGTACCTTCGTTTGTTGCGGACTTTGTTCATGTTGTGGCCTGGATAATGGATAATGAAACGGTGTCTGCTGAAGAACACTCTAATTTTAACAACGGTAGTTGTTGATCGCAAATCGTAAACCTAATTTTATTCCTCTTTCCTTGTCCTAGTTTAATCTTTTGGCCAAGTTTTGATAATGATTTTGATGTTGGTCTGGAAATTATATATGTAAGAAGTAAATTACTTGTACTTAATAAAATAGTTAGGTTATGTTTTCGACGTCCACAGTGGTCCATCAATCCTATGAACCTCGTGTTATTGATGAAGATGTTCTACGAGGCAATTCTGCCATTGTCAAATGTACGATTCCATCCTTCGTGGCAGACTATGTTCATGTAGTGGATTGGGTGGCAGACGAAGAATCTCTCTCTGCGTTTTCGTTCAACCGCTCTGAGGGCAATTACGGTAATAGAGTAGAGTACCGAGCGGCCCCAATTGTCCTTATCCGCACTCCACTGAATCCCCGTGTCGGAGGCAATATGTCCATCGCTGTATACATAGTCTAATTTGTATGTGAAATATTTCAGCGGTTAATCAGTTCTACGAATCACAAGTTTACGACATATACGTCATTCGCGGGAACACTGCAGTCTTCAAGTGCCATATACCCTCGTTTGTGTCTGATCATGTGCAAGTAGTTTCTTGGCACGATTCCGAGAATGGAGAATACACAATTAATGAAAATTACGGTATATTTCAGTAAAAATGGAAAAATACGCACCTCTGTATCCTATCCATTACAGTTAATTTATAGGGAGTTAATAATCAGGGATAGATAGCCCTAACTTCTTTTTAAATCAATATTCAATAAGTATTGTCTTGTTGTTCTCAGTTGTCTCGCAAGCATACACAGTTAATTTGGTCGAAGAAAATGTTTTAAGGGGCAATTCAGCTATAATTAAATGTTTGATTCCAAGTTTTGTAACGGAATATGTATCAGTAGCCACCTGGATTATTTCTGAAGGAGACAATGAAGTTGAAATATCAATAAACGAATCTGTTGATATACAGGGTATTTAAAATGAAAATTTACTAGTCTACATCTGATAGTCCTCTCCTTATCCTTAAATTAGTAGTCTTCTTGAGAGAAACTCATTTTTTGTTCATGGAATTTCTTTTTCTAATTCTACAGTCGTTACTCAAGCTTACACCGTCAATCTCATGGAGGAGAGCGTTTTACGTGGGAACGCAGCTATTTTGAAATGTCATATTTCGACCTTTGTGACCGAGTATGTTAGTGTGTCGTCCTGGATTATCTCTGAAGGAGAAACTGATGAGCTGGAAATAAAAGCAGAATCTGATGACTTGGGTATACCTCACTGCAATAGGCTATTCTACCATGGCACAAACCCTTTTCCTTTCCTGCTTTTCATAATCTCGAAAGGTTATTACAGATCAAGTAATTGAACTATTTCAGTTGTATCTCAGGCGTATACTGTGAATTTGATGGAAGAAAATGTTCTGCGTGGAAATTCAGCGATCGTAAAGTGTCACATACCGAGTTTTGTAACAGAATATGTTACTGTATCATCGTGGATCATTTCTGAAGGCGATGTTGTAGAAACAGAGATAAAACTAGATGAGACGTTCAACTTAGGTATTGAGTAACATGAAATATAACTGAATTCTCCAGAAACTTATCCACTCCCATATTATTGTACCATATTTCCTATCGCTGCCTTCACATTCTGATTGTTATCTATTTTCAGTGGTTTCTCAATCCTATACAGTCAATCTGTGGGAAGAGAATGTCTTGCGCGGAAATGCCGCAATACTGAAATGTCATATTCCAAGTTTCGTCACCGAATATGTCACGGTCACTTCCTGGATTATCTCCGAGGGGGAACAGGATGACGTGGAGATAAATTTGAATTCCGACTTTAATTTAGGTAACTCGTATCGATCGACATTTCACCACAACAAGGCATCAATCCTTTCCTAAATTCCTCTTACTTCTTCGTTCATAGGCGTTGTTTATCTATAAATCGAACTTTACAGCCAGTTCTTACATTACAGTCTTACTCAAATTATTTATTAATTTTAACGATTTCAGTCGTCTCCCAAGCATATGACGTAAAGTTTTGGGAAGAATACGTCTTGCGTGGCAACGCCGCTATCTTGAAATGTCAAATTCCGAGTTTTGTCTCTGAATATGTAGCTGTAAGTTCCTGGATTATCTCTGAAGATGTAAAAGAGCAAGAAATCAAAATTAATGCTTCATCTGATCTAAGTATACTAGTTTTGTCTCTGAAATAAATAGTTTCTCCCTAAATCCCAGTCAACCAAAACACGATATCCTAAAATAATTTGAAAATATAATAACTTCATAAACAAAATGGTGCAAAAGGTCAAGATAGTTGTAAAATTGCTATCGAATTCATACATTAAACTCGACTCAGGCTTCACAATATTGTTTCAGTTGTATCTCAGGCATACGCCGTGAACCTGATGGAAGAGTACGTTTTAAGAGGCAATAGCGCTATTTTAAAATGTCACATACCAAGCTTTGTGTCAGAGTATGTTACGGTCATCTCTTGGATCATCAGCGAAGGCGACCAGGAATTAGACATCAAGTTAGAATCGACGAATAACTTTGACGGTACGAAGTAAATTGTTTTTCAGGCTGTTTATGCCTTAACCTTATCGCTAGTAATAACTTGGGAACGTTACGTCTTCAAACGTTGATAGATCGCATTCGTTCATTACTATTATTTTATATCTATACACGGTTTAGGGCTTTGTTCCTAAAATGGGTTCCCATGATTCCATAAGCCTCACGGCTTGCCTTTATCCTTTGTCCTTCTTCCTTAGTTTAATGCATGCAATGATATTTATAAGTAAATCACAACCTTATGTTGTGTTGCATAACATATTGAATTGTTTTGCTATGTAGGATCTGTGGATAGATAATTAATTATTATATTTTTTCTCAACAGAGGGTAAATACCTAGTACTTCCATCTGGAGAATTGCATATTCGAGATGTCGGACCCGAGGATGGTTACAAATCATACCAATGCAGAACAAAGCACAGGCTTACTGGTGAAACCCGACTCTCTGCTACTAAGGGACGACTTGTTATTACCGGTGAGTTTTCATAAAATAAATTCTCAGATGGTTAAAGTGTCATCAATTCATTCAATCATTAACAATAACTTTGTCATCGCCATTTACTTATCCTTTTAATTTTGCTCATAACAAAAATAAAATCAATAATAATGAATTAATGACACTGTTTTTTATTTGCAGTGAATAGTTATATAATAATTGGAAAAATAATGTTATTTTGTAATAAAATTGCGTAATAAATTGTTTTTGATAATTATAACTGTACCTTCATATTTTTTTACTGGGCAATTATGTGTAATACTCTCACTATACACTGCAGATCAATGAAAATTAAATAAAAATATTATAATGTTCTCGATTCTGTGATGTAACTTGATACTCTGACTAAAACTTTAGTTACTTACATAAATCGGTAGGTATAGTACCTATCGTATATTTTATAGTTCCTAACGATGAAACTTAAACTAAACGAGAACGTTATACTTACCTAGAGATTGAAATATCTTTATAAAATGATGTGCAATAATTATAATCTTCTCGTACAATGCATAAATACCTCTTACGTACTAAATATGTATTTTCATTTTACTATTTTCTAATGCTTATTACAACTAAAGAAAGATTATTTTTGTTGTACTATATAATTGTATTTTATATTACAAAACTTAAAGACACAACTTTATATTGTGTCTTTAAGTTTGTCGTTATCGACTTACAACTTGCCTGAATGTTGGGATAGGGTACCCTGCAGAGCCTTGACTCGCGCGACCATTGTATACATAGGGATGAGTAGGGGTGTTTAGGGTTTGAATATCCGAATATTTTATGTCCTCTGTTCGTGATCTCGCCTTCTCCCAACATGCGCAGAGCCAGTGGGCCGGGTACCGCCCAAGTTCCCTAGCGCGTCGACTACAAGTGGCTACCAGTTTAGTGAGCTCTCCAGCCTCTCGTTACTGTGCACAGCACAGGCTTTCCCAGCACCGCTATACCGGTAAGAGTCACATTAACGTCGTTTTGCGTACTTCCAACAGAGCCCATAGGGCGCGTGCCACCTAGGTTGGCTACGACACAGGTGGGCATGATGTTTGTAACCACGTCGGGATCATCATATACATTGCAATGTCCAGCTCAAGCATTCCCTGTCCCCATATTCAGGTATGGCATTTTGCTATTCAAGTAATACTAAGACCATTTTTAGAACCGGTTGGCCGCGTTTCTCCCAAGTTTGCTTCAGTATTGACAGGAACCATGTTTGAAGTTAGAAAAGGCGATTCTTACGCTTTGCAGTGTCCCGCCCAAGCGTTCCCAACTCCTCTTTTCAGGTAATTTTAACTTCGATATTTTTTTTCGCTACTTCTATAGAGCCAGTCGGACGCGTTCCTCCAAAATTTGCATCTGTTGTGATGGGAACAATGATCGGCGTCAAGAAACTTAATTCATTTGCTCTACAATGCCCTGCGCAGGCGTTTCCAGTCCCAATCTTCAGGTATATTAAGTATTTCTTGTTCCTAAATTCAATTGTGAGTACATCTTAAATTTATTTTCTTCAGAACCAATGGGGAAGGTTTCACCAAAATTTCCAAGTTTAGAAAAGAGTAGACTCTTCAATTATGACAGCAATCAAAACGTAGCACTTTTATGTCCCGCTCAAGCATTCCCTGCCCCAACGTTTAGGTAAGCAAAATGAAAAAAGGTTCATACCTAAATTTTTTGCACATTTGAGTACAATAAGCAAAATATAACGTTCATTTCATAGAACCTATGGGAAGAGTATCACCAAAATTTCCAACTGGAGACATAAGTAGGACATTTATTGCTAACATGGGCGATGGAGTACCTTTACTCTGTCCTGCGCAAGGATTCCCAGCACCAACATTTAGGTAATTTTTAATTGTCTATCGTTCTTAATTGTCTATACAGAACCAATGGGTAAAGTCTCACCAAAATTTCCATCAACTGAAACTGGCCGCAGTTTTACATTCTCCTTCGATTCTTGTGTGACAATGCTCTGCCCGGCTCAGGCGTTTCCAGCCCCAACCTTCAGGTACATTCATTTGTCTTCATCTTATGTCTTTAGAGCCTGTGGGGCGAGTTTCACCAAAATTCCCGTCAGTGGATAGCTCAAGAAGCTTTAGCGCCGTATTTAATACCAGCTTGACAATGATATGTCCAGCACAAGCATTCCCGATCCCAGTATTCAGGTAAAATTCCCAAAAGATTTAAATCGACAGCAGAAATAATTGTTTCGTCCTAGAGCCCGTTGGTCGTGTTCCACCAAAATTCACAACAGGCGACAAAAGTCGTGCATTCGATGCAAATGGAGGTGATAGCGTCACTCTTTTGTGTCCCGCTCAAGCTTACCCTGCCCCGGCCTTCAGGTATATAAATGAACATGAATTATTATAAAATCATCTTATGTAACTTGTTCTTAGAGCCACTGGGTAGCGCCGCTCCGAAAGTAGCTACAAAAGTGATCGATATCATAGAAGTGTCTTTCAGTAATACTGTCACATTACTTTGCCCTGCGCAAGCATTCCCCGTTCCCATATTCAGGTAAAATAAATTATTGTTAATACTTTATGTGGAAAATGGTTATATTTATGTCCAGAACCCGTAGGACGAGTACCTCCGAAGTTCCCAACAATGGATAATGTTAGAGGTTTCAGTGCCTATATTAATGCTAGCGTAACGCTGCTATGTCCCGCTCAAGCATTCCCAGTACCTTTATCCAGGTAAACTTAGTGAATTGTTTCTATCTATTTTCTTCTAGAGCCAATTAATAGTGCACCACCAAAAGTACCCACTAAAACGATAGAATTTGTGGAATTTGCGATGGAATCCAGCGTTACGTTGCTTTGTCTGGCACAAGCATTCCCCGTCCCTGTCTTTAGGTGAGTTGACTCCAGCAATAATAGGACGCGTTTGTTTTTAGAACCTGTTGGTCTAAAAGCCCCTACATTCTCTACGGATTTCAAAATGGCGTGGTATGTAAAGAACGTTGAGCAGGGCTTCGCGTTACTTTGTCCGGCACAGGGATTCCCCGCCCCTTTATTCAGGTATTTTTACTAATTTTTCTAGAACCAATTGGCTCCAAAAGCCCTTCGTTCTCAAGCGGTTCCAAACTAGCCTGGTTTGAAATTCAACAAAATCAGGACTTCGCATTATTATGTCCTGCGCAAGGGTATCCTGTACCAATATTTAGGTGAGAACTTTTAGTTTAAAACAACTTCTAACAATTTACAGAACCCGTTGGTTCCAAGCCCCCTACATTTTCTACAGATGACAGATTGGCATGGTTCATTAGACCAGTAGAACATAGTTTAGCTTTGCTATGTCGTGCCCAAGGACACCCCATTCCTGTATTCAGGTAAAGTTAACCATAATCTTTTTTCATTTTAGAGCCAATTGGATCCAAATCACCTACTTTTTCCACTGATAATAAGTTTTCTTGGTATGTGAGGAATACTGGCCAGAGTCTAAATATCCTATGTCCCGCTCAAGGTTTTCCAGTACCAGTGTTCAGGTGAATAAATCATAGCTAATTATTTCAATTGTAGAACCCGTTGGCTCAAAGTCTCCTACATTCTCGAACGACGTTCAGTTCTCTGGGATAACTCGTAAAACTGGTCAAGATTTTGCTCTTTTATGTCAAGCGCAAGCATTTCCTGTCCCAATATTCAGGTAAGCAAATTTTGTACTTGCATCATCAATGAAATATTAAATATTTGTCACAGAACCAATCGGGTCCAAAGCACCGTCGTTTTCTTTGGAATTTAAAAGCACAACTCTTACGAAAGTGGTCCAACAAGCCCTTGTTCTCTTGTGTCAGGCTCAAGCTCACCCTCCTCCGGTATTCAAGTGAGTGTCTCATTATTTAGAAAAACTTTTCTTGGTTTAGAACCAGTAACAGCGAGAGCTCCTGCATTTCCTACTTCCGCAAGTTCATATAATTATGAAATAGAAGCTCACACAGAGGGCTCTATGCTTTGCCAGGCACAAGGGTATCCCCAACCAGTATTCAGGTAGGTTCTGTTTTTACTGTATTTGTGCCCTCTTTTAGAACCTGTTGGTGCGAAAGCTCCTTCCTTTTCGACCGATTCAAAGGGCAGTATATTCGTTAGAGAAATTGGGCAAAATTTTGCATTGCTCTGTCAGGCGCAAGCATCCCCTATTCCTGTATTTAGGTAAGTCGGAATTAATCGATTATTATTTTCTCCAGAGCCCGTAAGCTCCAAGCCACCTAGCTTCTCCACTGATTTCACATTGTCAGCTGTGACAAGACATAAAGGTCAAAGTTTCGCAATATTATGTCAAGCTCAAGCTTTTCCTATACCGGTTTTCAGGCAAGTGTTATAATTTCTAATGTATGGTTACAAACTGTCTGTTATTCTTATGAATCTCTCTATGAACACAAAATGTGAATAAACTTAAAACAGAATTATTCATTGATAACAGATTCTTCTGAGATATGTCTCATTTTCAAATTTAACTTGTAATTTCTATGCAGAACCTGTCGGATCCAAGGCTCCTTCTTTTTCAACTGAATCGGCTCTTTCGTCTATAAAAAGGCATCAAGGTCAAAGTTTTGCTCTACTTTGTCAAGCGCAAGCTTTTCCTGTTCCAATTTTCAGGCAAGTTTGAAATTTGCATTATTAACTAGTAGTAAAAAAAATGTTATAGAACCAGTTGGCGCTAAGTCCCCGACATTTTCTACTGAATCGATGGGAAGCATTTTTCGAAAACGTGTTGGACAACCTTTTACTCTACTTTGTCAGGCTCAGAGTTATCCAGCTCCAGTTTTCAGGCAAGTGATATTTATTTTTCATATCACAGAACCTGTGGCCTCCAAAGCACCGACTTTTTCAACGGATGCTCGTAGCACAACTTTTATACGCAACGTCGGACAAAGTTTTGGATTACTGTGTCAAGCACAGGCATTTCCTGTACCCGTATTCAGGCAAGTTTGTTGTAAGATTTGTTTTCTAATGATCTGTCTCAGCTGCAAAATGTTAGGTTAACTAATTATTGAAAATTTTGCTCAGTAAACACTAGGCACGTAATTCGTTTTTTGGATTGTTATCTAGAACCGATCGGAAGCGCAGCTCCAAGTATCACAACAACACAAAAACCTGCCGTATTCTATCCCCAACAATCGTCTCTAGCTATAATGTGTCCTGCTCAAGGATTTCCTGTGCCAGTTACAAGGTGCGTCCACTTGCGTTTTTGTTTCCTCCAAAACAATCGTGGTCTATGGTCTCTACCACCAACATTATTAGGTACTATTTCCAAAACTTGGTTATATCGATTCTCATTCAATATTGTCTACTAAATCGAAACGTTTAGGTATGTATAGGTATAATGTTGCACTTTAAATCAATGTAATTGACTTATCTATAAGTCAATACCAATGAGAATAGGGTTTGCAAAAGTCGTCTCTGTAATTACAGAACCAACCAATAAAATTGCACCTCGCAAGGATTCTACTAAGCACTTTGAAGGGTGGGAAGTGTTCACCGTGCGCCAAATGGACGTGGCATACTTAACGTGTCAAGTAGCTGCTTATCCGTCGCCAGTATTTAGGTGAGTAGGCAATACAAGAAAGGTTTTGCATTCCAGAGCCGACTGGTAGGACGGGGCCAAAGGTGACGGGCGATGGGCTCAATCGACAAATAGGTCGAGAAGGTGAAAGCCTCGCACTCCTTTGCGACGTTCAAGCTTTCCCAGCCCCTTTGACGAGGTACGGTCTTTAATGAGTTAGGGCCGGCCGCCGGCGTCTCACGCATTCATTTATCACGTAGTCATACCATACCCATCATCCAATGTACTGATATCCGTTGTTATTGCAGTCTGTTGCGGCGGCCGCCCCGCCCACACGTGACATGAAGGCGTGATGAATCGCGGCCGGCCGCGCGCCCTATTATGGTCCCCAGCCAAAGTAACGATTGAGCAGCGTAGACACCTGTTGGTAAGTGTCAGGGTGTTCTTGCTTTCGTTCAGACGCTTTAATCTTTACTTTGTGCTTTTCGTGAGTCAAGGCTGCACTTTACTTATTTTTGTAGCCAGAGCCCTGGTTTATGCGGTAGCTTATTTTAACTCTGTCCCAACGGCTAGCTTTTTATGTTTTTTAAATCTTCGTGGATATCACCTTTTTTCTCCATAAGATGGTCATCAACAGTTTCTTCGTGAGGTGTACTTATGTACACTTTAATACATAATTTATGTGATAGTTAGATTGGCTTTGTTTCTTCTTTAAGAACCAACGAACAGTATCCCTCCCAAGCTGTCTGGTGGTCGTTTACAAGAATCTGAGTTGAATATCGGACAAACGGGCACTATCTTATGTCTAAGTCAAGGTTTTCCAGTTCCGGTGTTCAGGTGGGTGGCTCTAGGAGGAACTTTAGTATCGATTTGGTATTAGGTTAGAACGAAATCTTATATCAGCCCCTGATATGTTAAACAGCTACAAATAATTATTTGGAGGAACTTAAAGAACTAAATCTTAAACAGACTGAGTTTGTGATGTGGTCCTCGCAGTAAAGAAATATTACAATTATTCTAAACTTTTTCTCTATTGTTTCAGATGGTACAAGTTTGTGGAAGGTACAGCCAGGAAACAACCCGTTACGCTCGATGATAGAGTAAAACAAGTATCAGGAACTTTGATTATCAAAGAGGCTAAAGTTGAAGACTCTGGAAAATATTTGTGCGTTGTCAATAACTCCGTCGGTGGTAAGTATTTATAATATTATGTATAAGAAAGTGAAACATTTGATCACTGTTTATTAAAAAAAATCTAATTTGCTTTAAATTGCAGGCGAGTCCGTAGAAACTGTTTTGACTGTAACCGCTCCTTTGAAAGCTACCGTTGAACCAGCTACTCAAACCGTAGATTTTGGAAGGCCTGCCGTATTTACCTGCAGATATGAGGGTAACCCTGTTAAAACAATCACTTGGCTTAAGGATGGCAAGGACATGAAGCACCATGATGCTACCCTCAGGTAGGCGAACTAATATACAATTAGAGAAAATTACATATGTAGGTACCGAAAGCAGGCGAAATTGTGAAACAGCCTGAACGAATTAATTTTTCTTTTGCAGGATCGAATCAGTAAAGAAGGAAGACAAGGGCATGTACCAATGTTTCATTAGAAACGACCAAGAAAGTGCGGGAGCCAGCGCTGAGTTGAAACTTGGAGGCCGATGTAAGCTTGGCGATTTTTATATATTCATTTTATACGGTGTTTTTTATTTATCCAATAATCATATTTAACATAACATAACATAACATAACATCACGCCTTTTATCCCCGAAGGGGTAGGCAGAAGTGCACATTATGCCACTATACAATGTAACACCCGCTTTTCACTATTTATGTTATGAGTCCCATGTAATAGGGGGTGAGCCTATTGCCATATACCGGGCACAATTCCAGACTCCGTGCTACTACTGAGAATTTTTTAAAAACCCAGTAATACTTTGCCCGACCCGGGAATCGAACCCGAGACCCCTTGCCCGGCAGTCGCACTTGCGACCACTCGGCCAACGAGGCGGTCATATTTACTGATATTATAAATGTTAAAGTAAGTTTAATTGTATATCGTTCGGGTTTAAATGCACACACTGCACTTTATTTACTCAACGCTTCTTGAAATTTTATGCGTGCATATAGTTTGGAGTAGGAAACAGGTTGTTTACAACGCGGAAAAAACACATTCTTTTTACCGCTGGTAAAAGAACTCTCCACATAAACGATACTTTAATTATAATTCTACGTTATTAACTTAATTATAAAACCGTGTTTTCAGTCGAACCACCGCTGATCCGTCACAGTTTTGGAGAACAGACCTTCCGTTCTGGCCCATCGCTACGTCTTAAATGCGTCGCATCTGGCAACCCTACCCCCGACATCGTGTGGCTCCTGGACGGCGAGAAACTGACCAGCGGTGAAAGACTTCAGATCGGACAATTTGTAACCGCTGATGGCAACGTTGAATCTCACTTAAACATTTCTTCTGTGCATACGAACGACGGCGGATTGTACACATGCATCGCATCCAGCAAGGTAAAGACACTGTTTGTTTACTTTACAAAATTTAAGTAATATTAAAATCTTGTTGATTATCAACAGATACTTTCACAATCCATATTTCCGGTAAAAGGAATTTCAATTATTAGTTTGTAGCAGACAAAACCTTTTTTACATGGCAACTGGAAGACATAAATGTAAGAAAAATGAAAAAGAAAACAACTCAAAACGTTGCATCATGTTTCGAACTAAATAAATTATAAACAAAAATCACAATAAACATATTAATGTAAAGCAAGTTATGTATAGCTACGGCAATGCAATGGTTCGCGACGAACGGCACATATTCTCCGGTTGTATAACTAGAAATTCTTGTGTACACGCCTGGCGACCACCCACATTGAGTTCCTCCAAAAGACACAACACCAACTAAATATCCTTTATATGTAATTGGTCCACCAGAATCACCCTGACGGAAAGGTTTATTAACGTCTTCAATGTGAAGATTACCATAAATATATTAAATATAGATAAATAAAAAAAAATCATTCCGCTTACCCAACAACTGTCCTTTCCATCCTTTCCTGCACATAAGTGATGGCTTTGTATGTGATTACCGAAGTACCTTTTGCAATCCATTGTGCTCACTATCGGAACACACACTATTCGGAGATCAGCCGATAGTTTGTACTAAAAATTAAGATGGTAAGATAATTTAAGGTAGGTACATAAAATACATGACATATGAGTTTATCGGAACGAAACTTTTTATTTTTAAACTAATTACGTGTATTATTGTTCTACATAAACATTATAATTATTCTACATAAACTTCGGGCTTTATATAGAATACTGGTAATAATAAAATATAGGTCCCGTCTCTGAACCAACCCAATGTAGACAACATATAATACGTGCATTAAGTCCGTCTATGCATTGGATATGTGCATGAAGATTAAAATAAATAAATCTTACAGTTGTAACAGCTCCAAATCCCGAAACCAAGCACAAACCATCTACTTGGAGTTGGATTCCGTGGCCGGGACGTATCATTGGAATAGGTTGAATGTTTTCCGAGAAGATTAAAGGGTAGTCCAACTATAAGCATACAGAGGAATCATTGTGATATAAGCTTTGACAATTTACATTTGTGTTGTATATACAATCTGCAAAATCATGTAAATAAAAAGTAATTGAGAGACAATGACGACGAATAATACATCCCATCCAGTCCACAAACATACTGTCGGAGTTTAAGATAACCAACATTAACTCTTTGAGTACTGTCATTATAGACACAATTAAAGAACAATAGGTTGCGGTTACCGGTGTCCTCGCGGTATTTGACAGTTTAAGTAGTTACTTTTTCTTTTTATCCCTCCACAAGATAGAAATATAAGGTATCAATATCACAATCCTTTACTACTTTTCTAATTGAGACTAATTGTGATGACATTAATAGTGATAATACTAAATCGTATAGAGAGTCGAGAGAAGAAATGATTTAGTATTAAGAGCAGCATAATAATAATATCTACACTACCTTAAAATAAAATAAAATATCACAAATTACCATTAACACAGCAAAATCATGTGTCAATTCTTCCGAATCGTAATATTTATGTCTAAAGCAGTACAAAATTCTTCTTCCAATCGTAGAAAATTTTTGTTCATTTAACATTTTTCCCATTTTGCCGGTGCCTGCTAAGATTCTATAGGTTTCTTTATTCCACGAACTCCTAGAGAATGTAAATCGTTTTAATAGTAAGAAAGAAAAAGCATTTATTTGACAGTATTTATTTATTTATTAACGCTCCATGCACAAAGTGTACATAGTAGGCAGACAAGCACGCACACAGATACAAAAATTAAACAAGATAAAAAAAATAAATACGTAGGTATATATAAAATAATTTTGCCTAGTTTACGTATTAATTAATTGAAGCATAAAATAGCTGAGGTATTAATCTCTATACTAATAAAGCTGAAGAAGTTTGTTTGTTTGAACTCGTTAAGCACAGGAAGTACTGATTCGATTTGAAAAAATATTTTTGTCTTGCATTTCATTTATCCATAATAGTATATTATATCTATAGATTCAATGGAAATAACAATTTGGCATCAAATTAAGATACTTACTTAGGAAAACAATGGGCAGCTGATACAACATGTTGCTGCGTAACGATTGCTCCACCACCAACTAATTTCCAATAATCACTTGGGAGTACATATGCTTGTATGACAATCTGAAATCGTATTTTGACGAGGTGTAAAGGACATTAAACATTCTAAAATTGTTTAAAGTTAGATTCTCAATAGCAGGTTTTTTGTTACGTAATAGATTAATTATATTTTTTACCTGATAGGGTACTTCATTTATATTTGCTTTTTGTCCACCTACTATTCTAAGAGGACATTTGTCTACCATTGGAGGATATTTACTATTCTCTTTTACCACTTCCTGAAAGTAACGAGTGGGTAACATTTATTAACTACTACTTTACATTCATCTATGCCACTTCCCCAGTCTCCACTAACATGCAGAATACTAGAGAAGATACGAGTAGCCAAAGGCTAATTAATATTCAATATTTTATTACTATTTTATACTATACTTATATATATGCTTTTATACTATTGTATATTATTGTACTCAAATATTTTAGATACACACTTGAAAATTTAACTCAATCTTATCATTTTGATTGGCTATTACAGACTTTTCAAACAGCAGCACCACATAAATTAAAATAGAGATCTGTTTCATTTATTTAAATTTTGTTATCTAGGTACCGATATGCCGATAATATGAACGGGATAAAAACATCTTATGCATTCCTAATAAAAATTGTAAAAATGTTTCAATTTCGTGATTCTAAAAACACATGCCGCGACATTGAATTGAAGGCAATAGTAAAGTTCAGAAATGACTGGTATTTGACACATAATTTACTTATATTTTTTTAATATGATATACTCTTTAGTTCAACGTCTAGATTTTCGTTCGTTTGAATTCGGAAGTTTTAAATATTGGTTTTATAGATTTTGATGTGAGATCGCATTTTAATAGCTTATTTTTATAGTAGGTATGTATCTCCCATGGACGTAATAATAATAATAGGACTGAGCTCTGTTTGAAAAAAGTCGGTCCGAGTAGTATATGGACAGTAGAGGCCGTTGGTCCCTTTCTAATAGGGTGACCATGAAAATGTTGTGTTCTATAAAAATATATGTTTGTATGCAACTACACCATGTAATTCAAGCTTATTATAAGTACTGATGTTTCAATACTTGAAGTAAAAAATTATGACTTAATAAAAAAATATATGTTATTTAAAAAAAACACTAACAATATGGATGGCGAATGATTTTAACCTTACGCGGTCACTAACACTATTGACAGTACTACGGGACTTTTGTATACCCCGGCTAGTCAAAACGATTGAAATTAAGACGCATCCCAATTTCAATAGACAGAACGGTTTCAAGTTATCGCCGACATGGAATCCAGTGGTATAATTATGTAAAACTCGAAGGAGTTTCCCAAATAACAATTCCCGAACAGACTCCGTCAGTGTTTAGGACCAAGTAAGACCAATATGGTTTACCTTGACAGTTCAACATCCACCGCAGTCAGTCTTATAAAATGGCAGCTGCAACGTTGTCGAAATATAAGACAACATACAAAATTAATCCCAGTAAGTCCCATAGAACTGTTACTAATGGATGTCATAATTATTTGTGTTGAAAGCAAAACGCGGGTTTAAAAAATTCTATATAATAATAATAAAATCGCAGGGCGCTTTGAGGCGATGTGATGGGCATTAGCGACCCCGCGGGCTACCATCATCCCGAGTGCTCCAGGGAGAAGTCACCGTTCCTTATTCTCCAGCTTGCCTTAATGGGCTGGTTGAAGTGAACGATGACAAGGAACAGGTCTCCCACCTCTTGCTTGCTTTCATTTACCGTCCTGTCGCCGGTTTGTGTGTCCATTACATTTACTTAAAGTTGTCTAAATGGCCTCTGCGCAGTTGGCCCATGACATGACATGACTTCTAATAGAGTGGGTCAAAGATGTACTGAGCACCTGGCATCGTCCTTTTAAGGAACAAATTACACAGATTGAGCTTGATCAACACTAAGATATGTTAACTTGTTTCAATTGTGTGTGTGGGATACCAACATAACGATACTATTATATTTTATAATAAACACATAGGCAATCTATAATAGACAAGACACAAGTAATGTTGACCTTATTGGAAATCAAATCAGGCTGGTTTGTTAACCACTGTATCAATGAGGCTCTCTCTTAGTGATGGTAATTAATAAGTATATTTACAACATTTACACATTACCATGTTCAAAAAGTTTATTCATATGCAAATATACACTTTTCTTAATAAAACCCTTCTGAATATAATATTCCACGTGTCCCTTAATAGCAATAACATTTACTGGTTTACATTGCGTGGACACCCTATTGATGAATGTTTACAGCCTAATAAAAATAATATTTCTAAATATCAATTTTGTTAATTTTTTTGGTTTAAATTATAATACCTATTATTTGATCAAAAGCATAATAATCGGTATTTCTTAAAAAAATATACACGCTTTAAGAAAAAAATATCTCAATAAAATTATCTCTATAACTAAAAAAATCATATAAAAATTAAAGCTAAAGATTTCAATTTTCTACCAACTATCACACGGCAATTATTAGAAAAGGACAAACGGCCTCCGTCTATCTATCCTACTCGGACCGTTTTACGACTGCCCAACGATGGTAGCCAAAACTAAACCATAATTTCTTTACTGAAAGTTCGTTTTACAAAAGCAAATAATTTTGATTTTTACTAAGAGCTCAGTCCTGTTATTATGTTATTGTTCATGGTATCTCCTTTTCAAAATGTTCCGGACATTTAACAAGATAAAAAACTACAAAAATAAACTAAACAGAATTTAAAACTAGCCTCTGCCAGCAGCTTCGCCCGCTTTTCTATGGGGAAAAAAGTAGCCTAAGTGTTATTTTAGACCACCATCTATGCCTGTTTCAATATCACCCGACCCAATAAGCCGTTTTGACTTGATTGTGAATAACACACATAGGTACACACCAACTCACAAACTTTCGCGTTTATAATATTAGTAAGATTAGAATTTTGGTAAAGATTAAAGTTAACGCGAGTGTTTTCCTTATTGCAGGTCGGTAGTGCTTCCCACGCGGCTCGCGTCAACGTTTACGGACTACCCTACGTACGACCCATGAAGAAACGTCCCGTAGTCGCTGGTGACAACCTCATCGTACACTGCCCCGTGGCTGGCTATCCGATTGACTCTATCGTTTGGGAACGTGATAACAGGTAAATATAAAATACCATCCTTTTTCTTCCCGTTCGGATCTGAATAAATTCAGAACATTTGTATATAACAGACGGGTAAGATAAAACGAATTTAACGTAGTATATCAAATGTTACATTGTAAATATAGCCGATGATATGTAAGTGTAATGCATCGTAGGCCGAAAAACAATTCTTCAAAAGTTCACACATATCAGTCCCCTGAATAAATTGACCTGCATTATTATTCCAGGGTACTCCCCATCAACCGCAAGCAGAAAGTTTTCCCTAACGGCACCCTCGTGATCGAAAACGTGGAGCGAATGAGTGACGAAGCGACCTACACCTGCGTAGCTAAGAACTCTCAGGGATACACCGCTAAGGGAACATTAGAAGTTCAAGTCATGGGTAAGTTCGTAAGCAATAAGATTTTGAAAATTGTGGTGCCTTTGAGACCATCTTTATTGTTTCATTGAGAGCCTTGTGACAGCAATCTTAGACCAACAATCATTTGTGAAAATCCTATACATGGTATAAAGTTCTAATGCTATCGAAATAAGATAGCGACAAATAAATTTATGTACTGTCTGCGTACCTAAATGATGATTGTGATTTGTGAACGACACTAAAACAAAAACCTAGGTTCGATTCCCAGGTCTATATTGATTGGCCTCATTAACTTCGTTCCACGACAAGCATTTATTAATTTTCTCAAAGGCACACAACGAATTTTATTTTGTGAATGCGACGATTTCGTCGGATGACTACTTAAAATTTATAGATTGAACTATATCGCAAAATAAGATTATTTTTAACCACATATTATTATGATAATTTGTTTCATTCACAAAATAATTTAGGTACTTAAAATTCTTTCTGTTATTTTATTTCTCTCAATAAATATAATACCATATAAAAATCCAAGCAAAATAGAACATTCAATGACACTTTTTCATTAGTTATAATATTTAAAACTGTTTGGTGTACTGAATGGTATTATAATTATTATTTTACGTGTATATACTAATCGAATTTATTTTCAGGGATGAAATTCTGTGTACCAACCTATATGTATAATTCAAAATGAATATAATTTTGTGTAATAGCAAATGTCGAATAGACCAAGATGTTTATGCCCGCCAAAGCTACATCGTTTGCCACACACGTCCCTACACTAGTTCTTAGATTAAAGTAATACTTTTACACAGTGCCCCCTCAAATATTGCCATTCGAGTTTGGTGACGAACCAGCAAACGCAGGAGACATGGCGTCCATATCTTGCGCACTTAGCAAGGGCGACCAGCCCCTATACATTTCGTGGGTCCTCAACGGACAAGTAATACCAAAGAACAATGACATGGGGATCGTTTTAACCGTAATCAACAAAAAGACCTCGATCCTTAACATAGACTCTGTAAGTGGTATACACAGGGGCACGTACCTCTGTGTGGCGACGAACATGGCTGGCTCAGTTAATCATAGCGCTGTACTCGAAGTCAACGGTACTCATCCTAATAACGTTCAGCTTGCTTTTTTCGGTTATGTAGTGTGCATTATCCCAAAATCCTAACCCATTTGAAGTAATACCTATTGATTGTATAGTCCCGCCACAAATAACGCCCTTCGAATTTGGAGAAGAAATATTGAATGAAGGAGAAACCGCATCCGTGTCATGCGTGATGAGCAAGGGTGATCTGCCTGTGAGGTTCACGTGGCGATTTAACGGAGAAGAAATAAAGGCCCGCAACAACCTTGGCATTGTGCTCACAAATATCAGCAAGAAAACATCCATATTAAACATAGAACCTGTCAGCTCCGTTCACCGAGGCTCCTACACTTGTGAAATAAAAAACGAAGCCGGCGTAACCAACCACACCACGATACTAAGCGTTAACGGTCCGCTTTGTTTCTATTAGTTTATCACCTATTTGTTTTAATTGCTTTTTATAACAACAGTTCCACCCCAAATATCACCGTTTGAATTTGGTGATGAGCCCGCCAACGCTGGTGATACCGCATCGGTTCAATGCGTTATGAACAAGGGTGATCTACCAGCTAACTTCTCGTGGAGTTTAAACGGAAGAAAAATCGAGCAGAATAATAACATGGGAATAGCTATCGGGGGCATGGGTCGCAAAATGTCTATCCTGAATATTGATTCCGTCAATGGGACTCACAGAGGTTTATACGTTTGCTACGTGGAAAACCTAGCTGGTCAAGTCAATCACAGCGCCACCCTGGAAGTTAATGGTTCTTCATATTTTAATTTCTATGTAGACTCGTATTAATTTAATTTTTCTACGTTATTTTTTACACTAAATCGTAGCTTTCTATAACAGTTTTGCCCCAAATCCATCCCTTTACCTTCGGAGACGAACCAGCCAACGCGGGCGATACAGTCGGAGTGCAGTGTATGGTGACGAAGGGCGATACGCCTGTCAATATCACTTGGCACTTAAATGGGAAACCAACTAGTGATATTCAGGGAATTACAGTGACTAGGATCGGACATAAGTCAAGCAGCCTGTCTATAGATTCAGTGGCATCCGTTCACACAGGAATATACACTTGTTCAGCCGCCAACAGAGCTGGATATGCTAATTACTCAACTGAGTTGGCTGTTAACGGTACCTGCATCCTAGATTGAAATTTTGATCGATTATGACATGCATTATTATTAATAAGTTGCTTTATTTTTCCAATTTTTGTCAATTTCCTTCCCCTTCCGTTTATCAATCTTTCGTGAGCATAAATATCAAAAGGCGTGGTGGCAAATACGACAGCTTGATTTAATTTGACCAAATATAATCAAAAACACAGTTCAAACAAAAAAAAATAGTTTTTGAAGGAAACTATATCCTTCCTATATTTAGGTATAATTAATAATAGGACCATATTCTATCAGTTGTGCCACAGGTTACGCCGTTTGATTTCGGAGAAGAAATACTCAACGCTGGCGATACAGTTTCTCTAACTTGTACAGTCGGCAAAGGGGATTTGCCCCTGAAAATTCACTGGCAACTAAACGACAAAATTCTTAACTCTGGCAACGGTATACTTATAAATAGAAACGGGAAACGTGTTTCAATTTTAATATTAGACAATGTTCAACACGAACATATTGGCAACTATACTTGTATAGCTGAGAATGAAGCCGGCCGAAGTAGTCACAGTGCAGTGCTCAACGTGAACGGTACAAATAACGCCATCTACGACTATTGCTTAAATTTTGTTCGCACGATTTTTACTTTATTCTTTATTTGTGTATTTTCATAACACAGTTATTTTCCTTTCACACAAACCTTTCCTTGCAATAAAAAGACTGAAATTCTAATAAATAGGACAAAACGATTTTTCGTTTCGGTTAGGAAAATCAGTGAAATCGTGTGTGGCAAAGAACGATATCGATGCAGCGGCGTAATTTAAGAAAATTTACCTAATGAAACCATTGGTTGCCATTTTTCCCAGCTAAGATTGAAATTCAATGATTGACAATATTGCTCATGCGAATCATTTCCAAGACTAACCGAAAATTATGAATTGAAACCGTGCACTATGTCGGATTCTTGTCATAACTCACAAAAAATTAGAAAAGGGTAAAGATATCTAGTAATCATCTTTGTAGATACGCGTGTCAATTAACCTCTATATTTTCCTCTTGAAGTCCCTCCACAGATAAAACATTTTGAATTCGGCGAAGGTCCAGTGAATGCTCAAGAAATGGTTTTAGTCACTTGTCTTATCAGTAAAGGTGATTTGCCTGCGACGATAATATGGTATTTTAATGGAAAACCTGTGAAATCTGGTGACATCGGTATCAATCTTGTGAATACGAAACGATCAAGTCAACTTAACATCGAATCTGTTAGCCATGAAAATCAAGGAAATTACACATGTGTGGTAAAAAATGATGCTGGCACCATGAATTACACTGCGGAGTTGTTCGTCAATGGTATCTTACACTAAGCATCTAAGCCTGCTAGTTACTTTTTTTTAATTTTTCCCATTTTGTAACTTTGGCGGGCCATAAAATAATTAATTTTCATATAACCCAACCACATAAAAAATAAACTGACAAAAAAGAAAATCAACTCACACTTAAGAACTTACGTATAATAATATCATTTGAGAATCCGTATTGAAGAACTTACGTATATCATTTGAGAATCCGTACATTTCAGTGGCGCCAGTGGTTATTCATTTTGAATTCGACGAATCAGTATTTTACGGAGAGGGTGTTCAAGTCATGTGCCAAAAGGAGATAAACCTTTAAATTTCAAGTGGACATTTAATGGTGGAGATGTGAGTTCACTAACCGGTTTGAACATCATGAACGTGGGTGATAGGGGTTCAGCTCTCATAATCCCGGCGGTGACGGCTAAACATTCTGGCAATTACACATGCACCGCCTCTAACCTTGTCGCCAGTGCTAGCCACCACGCCACGCTCAATGTTAAGGGTACATCGTCTCGGTTAAATGTCTATGCTTTTGCGTCCTGTTTTATTATTTCTTCCACCACTCCTATGGCAAATTATATTACTGTAGATGTATGTATATAATTAGTTTCACAAATCTGTCACCAAACTGACTATCTCTTTCAGTGGCACCGATTATTTCCCCATTCGAGTTCGATGAGGCCGTATTTTACGGCGAAAGTATACAGATTATGTGCCATATACCGAAAGGCGATATGCCACTAGAATTACGTTGGTCGTTTCAAGACAAACCGTTGAAAAAGTCTGACGCGGTTGTGATAACAAAATTAGGAGCCCGAAGTTTAGTTTTAGCCATCCCGGCTGCAACAGAAAAACATACTGGAAATTACACATGCACAGCTTCCAATGTTGTAGCAAGCACCAACCACACAGCTACATTAAATGTTCAGGGTACACTGGTTGTTCTGATTTGTTATAATTATTTTAATTTTATTTTTATTTGCCCCCACCAGTTCCTCCTCACATCGTACCATTTACGGCTGAAGAGCCGGTTTTTGCTGGCGAACTTATACAGTTGACGTGTTATGTATCAAAAGGCGATGCCCCTATAACAATCAATTGGAGTTTTCATGGCCAAGAATTATCCTCACATCAAGGAATAGCTACAATGAAGATTGGTGAACGGACATCGTTGTTGACGATATCTAGTTCACAAGCTAGCCACAGCGGCGAATATTCTTGTCATGCCGCTAATGCCGCTGGCCTGGCAGTTCATTCGACCACAGTTAATGTTCATGGTACTCCCAATGTCCGTTAGCCGCCCTAGCCTCTCGCACGCTGCTGCACGCTTGTCTTCGCAATAAATGTAACCTTCTGAATTAACAGTGTTACCACATATCGTACCCTTCGAAACCGACGAGATGGTGTTTGCCGGGGAACCAGTTCAGCTGACTTGTCATGTTTCCAAGGGT